ACAAAATGATGGTGGCTTGGGGGTTGCACAAAATAAGCTAGAAGACTAGTGCAGCAACCATGCAACACATCCCTTCAGCTAGGGCAAAGAAGAGGGGGGTCAGAAAAAAAAGTGATGGCTGTTTTGCTCAGTGTTGCTCTTCCAAAGAGCCCCAAATTCTGCAATCAGTAAAACAGATGAGAGTACGGTCAACTGATGGGTGGGGAGAATATTGGTTCTTATGGAAGAAATCATAAAAAATCCATTGTCATGGAGGGTGTATCCTCTGACTCATAAAACCATCTTAGTCCATGCCTCTTGTTCCTTCTTTAGGATCACATGAAAATGAGTAGTTGATCATCAGAAGAGAGATCTCCAGAGAGAGGAAGCTCCTTTTGTGGAAACCTGTGAAGAGGAGGGTGGGAGCATACACATAAGGAGTCATCTGAATGACCTCCACATATACACAGAGCCTCCCTGGCACTTGTGAGCCCTGAAGGGGAACATTGGGTTGCTTCCTGCAGCAATCCTGCTGGCTCTGCAGGAGTGAAGAACCACACTGACACTGACGCTGATGAGGGAGCCCTTCTCCAAGTTCTTTCTCCTCTATACTGATTTTTACTATTGGATGCAGGTAAGTAGAGATGAAAGGGTCCAGTGACATGATGGCTGGGGAGCAGCATGGCCTAGCAGTTCAGAGCACAAACTTCCAATTCAAACAAGATTGGGCTTTATCACTTAGGAGCTGTGTGACTTTAGGCAATTCATTTAACCTCTCCTTGTCAGTCACTCTGTCAACCTCAGGACTTTGCACATGCCTATATACCTTTCTTTTTCTAGTTTGCCTTTCATCAATCAGATTTTTGCTTGAAAAGCACTTTCCCCAGGAGATTTTATCTCACTCCTGCAGGACAGGGCTGGGCATTCTTCCTTGTGTTTCCGTCACACCTTCACTTGGACACCTTGCTTGGCGTGTATCACACTTCATCATAATTGCTTACTGACTGGGAGTCCTGGTGTGGTGCTGCAGGATAATGCACTGGACCACAAGTTCGGTTTGAAACACAAGGTCGGAAGTTCAAGGCCACCAGCCACTCCTCATACAGGGTTGCTATGAGTCTGAGTCAACTCGATGGCATGCAACAACAACAACAATCCACTAGTCAGTGTCCCCACTAGAATTTAATTCCTCAAGGGAAGGAACCGTATCTTATAGATCATTGTATCCCCAGCCTGTCAGCACAGTAAATCAAAACCAGTTGCTACCAACTCAATTCCAACTCATGGTAACTCCGTTTGTGTCAGAGCAGAACTGTGCTCAATAGGGCTTTCAGTGACTGGATTTTTAGAACTAAATTATTAGTCCTTTTTTTCCAAGTTGCCTCTGGGTGGATGTGAACCTCCACTCCAACCTTTTGGTTAGCAGCTGAGCACATCAACCATTTGCACCACCCAGGGACTTCAGATTGTGAGTTACTTAATAAATATCTCACTGATGAAGAAATGACAAGGCTGCTAGGTAAGTGAGGCAGATAGGCACACAGACAGCTTGTAATCAATTCCTTCATATGATTTAGCTGACCATTTATACCGTTGCCTAGACAAGTAGACAATGATTTGTTCACCTAGCTAGGATCTCAAGTTAGACGGGGCTGTCCCTGAAACCTGATCCTGGTGTGGCGCCAGCCCGAAGGATAAGCACTGGATCTCAAGGTCGATTTGAACTGCAAGGTCAGTGATTTAAACTCACCAGTTGCTCCTCAGAAACCCTCTACAGGTTTGCTATGACTGGAAACCAACTCGACGGCACACAATAACAATGACAGCCTCTCCCTTAAGATACGAAATTAGCCAAACTCTTTGCTAATCTTTGGGGGGTGGGGCAGGGAGGAGAATTTTCCAGAATGCTGTCATTTCTAAGGGAACAAAGTCAGAAACAATGAAATTCAAATGAAGTCACAGTCCTTCTGGGTAGAACAGCCAGCAAGTACTTTTAGCATAAAATTAGTGGTATGCTAGGAGTCCTGGTTTGGCATTATAGGATAAACACTGGGTTGCTAACCACAAGGTTGGGGGCTCATACCTACTAGTCACTCCTCAGAAACCCTACACAGGTTCACTATAAGTCTGACTTGTTAAGTGCCCTTGAGTGGATTCTGACCCATGTCAACCCTGTATAGGGTTTCCAAGGAGCATCTGGTGAGCTTGAACCACCAACTTTGCATTTAAATTACTCTGACAACATTAGCCCATAGTGTCACACCAGGACTCCAAGTCGGGCAATTAGAATGCACTTAACAACAAGTATTTTCTAAATTCCACCTACTGGTGTGTTACTGTGGGTTAATTTGCCAGACTGCAAAGCCGTGTAACTGCAAGGTCGGTGGTTCAAGCTCACCAAACTGCTCCTCGGAAACCCTATTCAGGGTCGCTGTGGGTCGGAACCTACTCAACGGCACTTAACAACAACAACCTACCAAGAGGCTACACTCAAGTTCTTAGTTTATCCTTTTCAAGTCAGAAGTTTTTGTTTCCCTTCAAAGACTGCTCTGACAAGAAAAGTTTTCCATAGAAGCAACAGTCATGGGGTTTGTTTTGAGGATCTGTGTCTAGATGGGACTTCTCAACAGTAGTACGATTTGAAAGCAACCGAAAGACATTCCCTGAAGAAAAGGTCTCCCTACTGCATGATTTAAAGCGCTGGATTGAAAGTCCAACCACACACCAGCCCTTCCTTTCCTTTTGTCTCTGACAAAACGCCAGTCATCTAGGAAGGGAGTAGGTGGGAATGTTGTTCAGAAACACGGGAATTTGGAAGCGAACAGGACCCGCTTCTTTCTCGCAGAGAAACAGTGCGTGCTGGAGGCTACATTGGAAAAGGGGCCTCCTCCGGTGACCCGAATCGGAGAGGAAGCTGAATCGGGGAGGAAGCTGGGGATGTCTCTTACTATCCGTTCTGACCCCAGATGCCACCCTACTTCCCTCCTAGCCCCTGTGGCCCTGCAGGTAGCGCTGCTGTTCCTTCAGACCTTCCACCAAGACCGGAACTTTCTTACAACCCTACCAGACGCAGACCCACTGCCACCGAGTCAATTCCAACTCATAGCTACCCTATCTATCTATACAGGGTTTCTGAGACTATACATCTTTATGGAAGCAGAGAACCTACTGCAGAGCAGTTGGTGGGTTTGAACTACCGACCTTGCGGTTAGCAGTCCAGTGCTTATCCTACAGCACCACCTGGGCTCTTACCACAGGGTTAGTTATTTGATTTAGTGTAAAAAACATGGCTCAGAGGGCAAATACTCCGTGGAGAGGGCACACAGTAGTCATCGCAGGAAAATAGGATCACAGTAGGAAGTTCCTTGTTGGGAGAGGTTAAGGACAGAACTGAGCTCCAGATTAAGGGTAGCATAGGTCACCCAGCATTTAGGAGCCTGAAGGGAGAGAGAGAGAGAGAGGAAGGGTGTAGAAGAGAGGCAGGAAGGAAAAGAGAGATTGATTGATTGACGTTCTGAGTCCATATATCTTCTTTTGAGAGGTGGGATGAAATGTCCAAAACATCTGCCTAGTTTTTTGTATAGTTGTTTGTCTTACACAGTTTCAAGAGTTCTTCATAAAGTCTAGATAGAAGTCCTTTTTTAGATCCATGCATTGTGAATATTTCCCCCAGTCCGAGGTTTGCCTTTTCACTTTTAAAATAATGTACTGTTTCAAAGAGAAAAAAATTTTAATTTGAGGAAGTCCAATTTTTAAATTACTTTATGGAATCTCCTTTTTGTATTTTATCTAGGAAATCTTTGCCTAGCACATGATCCCTAGATTTTCTCCTATGTTTTCTTTCTGAAATTTTATTATTTTATCTATAATTCATTTTAAGTAATGTTTTTTTGTTTTGTTTTGTATACAGATTTTTCCAGCAAGATTTGTTGAAGAGATTATCCTGTTGAGTTCAGTGGGAATTGAATTGCCATCTCTAAAAAGAAATCATTTGATCTCACATGTTGGATCTTCTGAGCTCCCTCTTCTATCCCAATGGTCTATATGGCTTTACTATAATAACTTCACTATCTTGATGACTATAATAATTCTTGAAATCACAAGTACAAATCTTCCAACAATTTTTCCCCCAAAATGATTTTGGCTAATCTATATCCTTTGCATTTTCATATAACTTTAGATTCAGTTTATCAATGTCTACAAAACCCTATGACTGACTGAGATTGTATTGAATCTTTGCATCAATTTTGAAAGATCCAACACCTTGACACTATTGAGTCTTCTGATCCACATGCATGGTATTTATCTCTCCATTTAGTTAGGTCCTCTTTATCTTTTCTCAGCAGTGTTTTGCAATTTTTTAGGTCTTGTATATATTTTGTTAAAATTTTCTACAGAATCTTTTATTTTTAGCTACTGTAAGTAGTCTTGCTTTCAATTTTCAATGTGCCATTTCTTGTTACAGAAATGCAAAAAAAAGTTTGTTTATTAATAGTTTATCCTACAAACTTGCTAATCTCACCTATTAATTATAGTAACTTTTTGGTAGATTTCTTAGGATATGCTACATAGATGATAATGTTATGTGTGACTAATGACAGTGTAACTTATTTCTTCCGATCTGTATAGCTTCTGTTGCTTCTTCTTCTTCTTTTTTTTTTTCTGTGTTCCAGCAGATAGAATCTCTGTACAATGCTGAATAGGAGCCATGAAAGTGCACATCACGATGACACCTTTCAAGATTTCTTTACCAAATAGAAATAATCACTGGCCATAGTAATAGTAAAGGTATAGTAAAAATGGGAGAGTGGTGGCCAGTGATTATGGGAGAGAATAGAGCGATTAAACCCTATTCCTGGGAGAAGGGTTTTCTTGAGTGGATCGTGGGAGTTGATAGTTGCTGTGATCTCTTTCTCCCACCCCATCCTCTGCTTCTGAGGTTCCCCTCGTTCACATTGCAGCAGCAGTGGTACCCTCACTCTCCTTCCATCAGTTCCGGAACCCTGTCCTTTACCTGTGTGATGGCATGCCCACGGACCTGCTCTCGGATCTTGGGGCTGAGCCTTGGGACTACAGCCCTGTTTGCTGCTGGCGTCAATATGGTGCTCCTCTTTCCTAACTGGGATTATACCTACCTGTTGAGGGGCCTTGTTGGCAAGCATGCCATATTAGGCTCTGGGCTCTGGGGAGGCGGCTTCATGGTAAGTGTCTAGGTTCCCCTGGGTGTGAACTTCCAAAGTGCCCCCCTCCCCAGGGATGAAACAGGGAGGGAGGTGGTTGGGGAGCAGTGCTTTGATTCCCTGTTAAAAAAAAAAAAGTTTGAACAAACTGGTCTAGAGTCCATAAAAGCTCCACTATAGGAAGTCTTGTCAAATATTCTTGGATTTTAGCTTGGAGACTATACAAACTGGGTATGAACATTTCCATCCATTATCAAACCATAAAAACAATACCAAACTCACTCACTGTCTCTAGTCAAGTCTAACTAATAGCCGTCCTATATAGGGTTTCTGAAGCTGTAAATCTTTACGGGAGCAGAAAGTCTCACCTTTCTCTTGTGTATCAGATCAGGCTAAAGCAGTTGCTCTTGAGTCAATTCTGACTCTTAGTTACCCTGCCAGACAAAGGAAAACTGCCCCCTAGGGTTTCTAAGGCTTTACAGAAGCAGACTTTTCCCCAAGAAACAGCTGATGGATTAGAACCACTGACCTTTCAGTTAGCAGCCAAGCACTTTAACCATTGTGCCACCAAGGTTCTTGTTTAGATCAGGTTAGGCATCCAAAATTGGGTCCTCAAAGTCAAAAGCCAAATCCTCTGGGAAATATAGCATAGTCGGTTCCTTGTCAGGTGGTACCTACACATTTCAACACTTGAATAAACTTTGGACTGCAGCTAGAAACTGAAGTTATCCAATCTCTTCATAACACTTTTCTCTTCTCTCCCAGGTCCTCACTGCGGCTACTCTCATCTCCTTGATGGGCTGGAGATATGGCTGCTTCAGTAAGAGTGGGCCCTGCTGTAGTGTAAGCCCCAGCTTCCACTATTCTAATCTCTAGAATGTTCCACATTCTATTACTGTAGATGCAGAGTGCCGTGAAGGAGTTCTGGTCTTGGTACTTGAGGGCAGGTGCTTACCAGGACGCTTAATCTCTTTAAACTCTTGGACAAGTTGTTTAACTTCTAAACTTCAAGTCCTTATCCACAAAGTGGGAGTTATCAGGATCCATTCAAGGGAGTATACGTACTTAGTGAACCATAAATGCTTACCCAAATGTGACTTCTGGATACATGTGAGGAAATGTTATTACTACTTTTAAAGCAAATTGAAAAATATAGACATGAGTTATATACATTATAATTGTGTATCATTGATGGCAACTCTCCTGACTATTTCACTTCATATATTCTTAGAGCTGGAAGTCTCTCTCTCCAGAGGTCATCTACTGACTAAATTCTAGTCCAGCTCCTCCATTTTGTAGATAATGAAACTGAGGCCCAGAATACATTTGTATTTTATTACAGTAACATCTATATAAATTTGAAAAACCTTAGTACATATATGCATAAGATGTATGGATTATTCAGTCTCAGACAAAGGAATATGCGGACTCATTGCAGTAACTCTTCAACCTCTTCTGATATCTATCTGCAGCCCACATATTGGGAACTCCTCTGACTCAGAGGAATATGTTAAATAATCAAATAAATGCCCACACATTTCATTTACCATCTGTTCTTAATCACCTTTAGTTTTCCCCTAGCATGCATGAGAATCTCCTGAAAGGTTTGTGATACACCAATTGTTGGTTCCACCCCAAGGGTTTCTGAGTTAGGTGATCTGGAATGGAGCCTAAAATTTACATCACTAACAAGTTCCAGGGTAATTCCAGAGCTGCTAGTCCTGGAACATTTTGCGAACAACTGCCCTAGCCTGGTTGTTGTTGTTGTTTTGTGCTGTGGAGTCCGTTCCCACTCACAGCGACCCTGTACAGGGTTTCTGAGGCTGTAAATCTTTATGGGAGCAGAAAGCCTCATCTTTCTCCCGCAGAACAGCTGGTAGTTTCAAACTGCTGACCTTGAGGTTCACAACTCAATTCGTAACCACTATGCTACCAGAGCTCCTTAAATCAGAATAATTCATCTTTAAACTTTTAATTTAGAGTCAAAATTTACTATTCATTGTTCTCTAGCACTTCTCAAGCTTTAAACCAGTCTAGAATCAGTGGAAAAATGACTATGAATCTGTATAAACACCTTTTTGTATTTCTTATTCAAATTTAAAAAAAACAAACTTTTTATTGTAAAGTCAGTGAAGGTTTACAGAGCAGATCATGAGTTTTACATTCAACAAAATCATACAATTTGCTTCATTACAATGATTGCAATCCCCTCAATGTACTATCAGTTAACAGTATTAATCTCTATTCACTTTAACTTGCATTCCTCCATGTGTCTTTTGCTAACTTCATCTTTTCTTGGCCAACCTCCTTCTTGTTGTATATTGCCTGTCCTACCTAGGTTAACATGTGTCGGAAACCCTGTACAGGGTCGCTATGGGTCGGACCCGACTCGATGGCACTTAACAACAACAACAACAACAACCCTCTAGCCCATGAATAATTTTCCCTTTAAACCCCCATAACCATCATAGAATGTTTCTTTTATCAAGAAAACCTTTTCTTAACTTTTTACAACAGTGATCACATACAATATTTGACCTTTTGTAATTGCCTAATTTTACTCAGCATAATATCCTCCACTTTCATCCATTAGTTTCTTTGGTCTACATAATTTTCTGCAGAGTTCATTTTGTTACTGGGTTTCTGAGTTTTCTTTTTTGTTGTGCTAGTCCTGATGTGGCGCTGTGGGTTAATGCACCAGACTGCAAAGCCATTTGAACTGCAAGATTGGTGGTTCAAGCTTACCAGCTGCTCCTCGGAAACCCTTTATAGGGTCGCTATGAGTCGGAATCAGCTTGACTGCACTTAACCACAACAACAATGTTTACTAAATCTAACTAATTTTCCTTTTTTATTTTGATGTGAAGATTTTGGTTTGATTTGAGGTTACCCTGAAATTTGTTAATTTTCCCTCCATTTAAAGGTCTATTTTATCTTGAAACAGGCTTGACTTTCTCACCATTTAGAAGTTCTGTATCTTCAATATTCCCTCTTTTTGCTTTGCAGTTGACTTTATTATAAATTGATATGTTTGGTTCCCTATTTTCAGTCCTGCAACAACAACAACACAATTTTCAGTCATGTAAATTTCTTTTATTTAAAATACTTCTGTATCTGGATTGAGTTCTGTGTAATATTGTCATGTATGGTAATCCCAGGTTGTTGTCTGCAGTTGTTGGTTCTCAGTTCAAAGAACACCCTTTAGTAGTTTTTGTAAAGTTGGTCTGCTTATTACAAATTCCTTTCATTTCTGTTTATCCGGAAATGTCCTATCTTTACCTTCATATTTGAGGGACATCTTTGCTGTGTAATATACATAATTCTTGGTTGACAATTTTTTTCTTTCAGAGTTTTGTATATGTCATCCCATTGACTTCTTGCCTGTATGGTGTCTACTGAGAAATCAGAGCTTAGTCTTACTGGTTATTCTTTGGAGGTAACTTTTTGCTTTTCTGAACTGTTCTCAGGAGTCTTTCCTTGTCTTTGATTTTGAATAGTTTGATTATGATAAGTCTTTGTGATTTTCTTTTGGGATTCATTTGGGGTTCATTCAGCTTTTATTCTTATTTTTCATGATGTTAGGGAAGTTTTCTTCCAACAACTCTGACAGTTTTCTGTGTTTTCATTGTCTCTGATCATCCATAAATCTCTCCTTTGCATGTTGTGCCACATAGCTCTTAGGCTTTCTTGGGATTTTTTCAGTCTTTTTTTCTGGTTGTTCTAGCATACTAGTATTGAAAGATTTATCTTCAAGCTTACTAATTCAGACTTTCATTACTTTTTCAATGTATTGTCTATTTCTGAGATCTTAGCATTAATCTTCTGGATTTCTAATTGCAGGTTTTGTATTGCATTTCTTTTGTCTGCTTGACCTTGTAGTGTTTTCCTGACTTCTTTTAATTTTTTTTCTGTGTTCTCTTTGCTCTTTCTATTAATCCTTTGAAGGTGTTTAAAAACCATTCTTTTGAATTATTTTTCAACTAGTTTCATTACCTTTTCTTCCTCAGACACATTCTCTGGCTCTGCATCTTGTACATTAGTTTGTTTCTGGTTGTTAAGTGCATTTGAGTCAGTTCTGCCTCATAGAGGCCATGTATAGGGTTTCCACGGAGTGGCTGGCTGGTGGGTTTGAACTGTCAACCTCGTGGTTCAGTTCAAACCAGTCAAAAGCAGTCCACTGCTTTATCCCACAGCACTACACCAGGACTCTCACTTGTTTCTTAGTGTGAGCTACAATTGTCTGTTGTCTTTGGGACATTGTGGTATTGTTATATTTGTATTTAATTGATGACTGTATGTTGATGTGTTCATAGGTTCTCACCTACTATTTCCTCATCATGGAAGTATGTGCACAATTCTCCATTTGCCATTCATGAGCCTCATTTTAGGGTGGGTTTGGCTGGTGTTGGCTGCTTTCTGTCATTGATCAGATGGTATAGGAGCTGGTATTGGCTTATGCCCAGTAGGTAGAGCTGCAGAGGGTACCATTGTGGTTGGACTTTGGGGATACAGTTGCTGTTGCCTGTTGAGTGGGAAAGAGGAGAACCCTCCCCTCTCACACACACACAAGACAACAAAAAAAGCAACCAATAATGAAAAGAGAAAATAATAAAAGAGTAACAAAACAAAAACCAGAAAAACAGAATACAATAACTGAAAAAATGAAAAGAGGGACAGGAAAATGGAGCGATTCAAAAGAAAAATAAAAGTAAAAGTTAAGGGAAGAAAATAAACAAATAAGCAGAAAAGCCAGAGAGAGCAAAGATGAGAAGAGGAAAAGAGTATAGAATACTGGGGGGAAAGAAAAGCTGCTTACAAAAGTTCAAGATGGTTGTGCAGTGTCTGGCTGGCTGTTTACCAGTCGGTCTCCCTCTCTCCCCATCCCTGCTCAGTGTCTCCTCCCAACAAGCAGTCAATCCACTTCCCTAAACTTTCCTCTGAAGTTCAGGGTTCCAGAATTTTCATCTGTGTCTGTTTCATTTGGTTTCTTGTGTCTTTGTTGTAGAGGGCCCAGACATCCCTGTTTTATGCAAATCTTTAAAGAATGTATCCTTTGGATGGAGGAAATAAAACCTAGTGTACTAAAAAAGAAGCATATTTAGAATCAACCTACAATTCTACCAAGGAAAGAAATCTATTGTTATCTTTGGGGAAGAAAATGAGTGGAGCAAAGGCTAGCAAACAAAGAAACTCTTGAATGGAAAAGTACAGTTACAGAACTGGAGTCTTTTGAGAGTTAGATTGTCATCCTTCCTTCCTTCCATTCATTCTATTTTCATTTCATCCTTTCTATGTCCACTCCTCCCTTCTTTTTTTTTTTCCTCTCTCTTATGTTTGATTTAACAAAGAGAAGAATCAAGGATGGGAACTTTGGAACTTTTGAAAATAAAGGTTTTCTTAGGAAAGCTAGAGGCATGTGGTAACCTGTCTGACTCTTTAAGAGCCTGAATTACTACAGTCTGAGTGTACAGGGGTATGTGTGTGTATTTTTCTCCTTTTTAGTGTGGTGAAAACATACACACTAAAACAACTTCTACATGTACAACTAATAATACTGATTTCATGTTTCATGTGCCACCTTATCAATCACTATCTTGTTTCCTCCAAAACATTCCACAGCCATTAACATAACTCAAAAAAAAACTCTCCCCCAAACTTCCCCTCTCCCCCTTTTACTCACCCTTGATAGTGTTGCTGTTAGGTGCCTCTGACTCATAGAAGATCAGAATCAAACATTGCCTGATCCTGCACTATTCTCACAATCGTTAAGTTTGAGCCAATTGTCACAGTCACTGTTTCATCCCATCTTGTTGGGGGTCTCCCTCTTTTTTGCTGACCCTCTACTTTACCAAGCATGATATCTTTCTCCTGGGACTGGTCCCTCCTAATAACATGTCCAAAGTCCATGAATCTCGTCATCAAAGGGGCATTCTGGTTGTACTTTTTCCAAGACAGATTTGTTTGTTCTGGCATTCCATGGTAATTTTGATATTCTTGTTGTTGTTATTATGTGCCGTCGAGTCAGTTCCAACTCATAGCTACCCTTTATACAATTTTTGAGGAGTGGCTGGTGGTTTTGAACCACCGACCATGGTAGCCATTAATTATCTTTGGGTTTCTCTGTGTTTGGTTGTTTTGTATAAGTGAGATTATACAGTATTTGTCTTTTTGTGACTGAATCATTAAATCAGCACAGTGTTTCCAAGTTCATCCTTATTGTGGCATGCATCAGGTCTTCATTTCTCTTTATGGCTGCATAAGAGCTCTGGTAGCATAGTGGTTACAAGCCAGGCTACTAACCTCAAGGTCAGCAGTTCAAAACTTTCAGCAGTTCTGTGGGAGACAGATGAGACTGTCTGCTCCTGTAAAGATTTATAGCCTCAGAAACTCTATGCAGGGTCACTGTGAGTTAGAACTGACTCCACAGGGCATAACCACCACTACCACCAATACTGCATTGTATCTGTGTACCATATTTTGTCTAGCCACTCACCTGTTGGGTATTTTGTTGTTTTCTACCTTTTGGCTATTGTGGACAGTGCTGCAACAAACATTGATGTATAGGTTTCTGTTTGCATTCCTGTTTTGACTTCTTCTGGGGATATACCTAGGGTTAGGATTGCTGGGTCACATGAGTGTAAAGGATTTTTATGCCAACCTACTGAGAAGCTTCAAAGAGCCTGCCAAGTTGGGGAGATCCAGGTCTAAGTGTTCATGTTTTCCTCTTCTCAGTCCTTTTCCTCTCACCCCTCCCTGGCTCTACCCCTCATCACCCACCCACCTTGGTGATGCATTAAAGCTGGTGTGGTTGGATTATCCCCATGTGATTTGATGAGGGAAAGCCTGAGCACCACAGTATTTAGACTTGTCCAGATCCCTCCATGATTCAGGACAACTGCATCTTCTCTCCCTTGGCAGATGATGACTTCTCTGTTGTCAACTGGTCTGGCTTTGCTTGGAGCCTTGATTTGTTTTATCACTTCTGGAGGAGCCCTGAAAGATGGCCCTTTCTGCATGTTCGATATCTCTTCCTTCAACCAGACCAAAGCTTGGAAATATGGTTACCCATTCAAAGACCTGAAAAACAGGTAAATGGATGAAGGCTTGCATTTCCAGTCTTTTCAGAAAGAGAAAAAGATGTAGATGGACGACAACCCTCTGTGATCACACATTTTCCTCAGAACGTTGCAAACTGATGACAAGTCATCCTTGGGAGTTTGTCCTATGGCCTGAGCATGGGGATGGCCCCAGATTTCTATTGGGTTTGTTTGATTAACTTTTTAAATTCACCCCCAACTCCTGGTCTTCTTATATTTTGGATAGGAATTATTTGCATGATAATTCACTCTGGAACTCCACCTGCCTGGAGCCCTCTAAAGCTGTTGTTTGGCATGTGTGCTTCTTCTCCATCCTTCTCTGCATCAGCCTCCTTCAGATGTTCCTCGTGGTCATTCATTTGATCAACAGCGTACTGAGCTTTTTCTGCAGCCTCTGTGAAGAATGATGCGTAAAGTCATTTCATGCATGGGTGTTTTCTTCAAAAGCTGCCTTAAATCTTTTTTGCAAGTAGTGGGTATGGATTTTAAGCTAACTTCCTTTCTAGGTATGTCTGTATAATAATTCTTTGCACAGTGCTGAATGATAGAACGCATTTTAAAGTCCATTGTAAACTATAAGATGACATGCTAATAAAAGAAAGAATTAACTCATTATTACTGTGTGGAAACTTTTAGTCCATGAAATGCTCTGCAGTCATGATCTCAACAATCCCATAAAATTGACCATATGTTGCGGATCGAAAGCTTGAGTTTCCTAGAGGATAATGTACTTGCAGCCCCAAAGCACTCAGCAAGGTCAAAGTAAAGTCAGGACCCAAATGCCTATCCTCTGGATTCAAGTTCACCAATGTTCTTTTCATTAGTGTTCAGCATAGTTCAACAACTATGTACTGAGTACCCACTATGTGCTCTATACTACTGTGCATGGTAAGGATCCAAAGATGACCAAGGGCCTTACCATTAGACTTTGACCTGCTCTTGAAGGCACATGGTCAGGTTAGGAAGACAAACACATCTACTGATAGCTGAATGTCACATAGTAAGGCTATATCAACACAATGTACAATAAGAGTTCAGAGGAGAAACAAACCTTTAAGGGAGAATATCTATGAGAGGTCAAGGGAGGCTTCAGTTGTGCTTCAGCTAATTCTTGAAAGAGTTAGTCCATCAAAGAAGGGAGGAAGGGTTTTCCCAGCAGAGGGAACAGCACACACAAAGGCATAGAGGGAGACACAAGATAGGATGGATGAGGATTGTGATGCCATAGCTGTTTCAAGGTAGAATCTCCCACTTTAGGATCTTTGGTCAGAAGGTTGTCCTGGATGGTGGGAAGTGTCAGTGGTTGGGATGAAGGAATTGCTGGTGGGAAAAATGTGGTGTGTAGAGAAGATGAAGCAGGCAGAAGCCACTTGGGCAGAACCAGGAAGATGGTACTATCAAAAGAAGAGCTAGTGAGCAGGTCTAGTATAAGTTAGTTAGAGAATCCCAGGCTCTGGGCCACAGAGTAGACAAAGTCAGGAAGGGGGCCCAGGTGCTGCTCTATCCCCTCTTCAGTCTTGTGGACCCCAGCTCCATCCCAGCACTATCTCAGGTTAGCAAGGAGCTCAGAAGCAGGACTGAAGAACATGGTTTTGTCATCTGTCACTCTACTAGAGCTTGTAGGAGTCATGTCCCTCCAAACACCATTTTACCCTTTACATACTAGCCCAACAGGCTTACTCAGGTCAGCGACAGAAAGATGCATAGCTTACTGATCAGGCAGGGAGCTCTGAAGTTCACACATCTCACTGTATTGCCACATATGACATTCGGGGAGCATTGCCTGTGTCTGTCTCAGAGTTCCTTGTTGGTTGATTTAGTTTTATTGTCATGGCTAGAAGGTACCAGATTCAAGGAGCGTCTTCTATAAGGCAAAGGTGGTAGTAATGCCTCCACACAATTACTAGAGCATTTAAACATATTGTAAATCTAACTCTGGATGTTTCAAACACTCACACGTATACAAAGTATCTTCAGAGAGTTCCTGGGAAAATGGAATTTTTTATGAAGATTTTGAAGGCCTCTAATATGCACAGAAGTCCTGGAGTGGTGCTGTAGGATAAGCACTGGACTGCTAACTGTCAAGGTCAGCAGTTGAAACCCACCAGCTGCTCCTCAGAAACCCTTGGTGGTTGGTGGCTGTGTGCCGTGGAGTCGGTTCCGACTCATAGCAACCCTGTACAGAGTTTCCGAGGCTGTAAATCTTTATGGGAGGAGAACACCTCATCTTTCTCCCGTGGAACAGCTGGTAGTTTCGAACTGCTGACCTTGCAGTTCACAGCCCGATTCATAACAACTACGCTACCAGAGCTCCTTTCAGAAACCCTTAACAACACTTAATAGCAATAATTTGCACACATAAACACAGAATCACACCTGGGTCTACAATTGCCTCTTAGCTCAGCCTGACTTGGATGGTATGGCAGGAGACCAATGTAAGAGAGAGAGGTCAGTCCTTGGCACCACACACAGTCAGTTTGTGGTGGAGAGTTGACTCTGTTGGTGCGCCTCTTTTATCTGTTCAGGGCTTTCTGTAAAATGTTATTACTGTAGAACTTAACAGGATCAATTACATTCACCTTTTCCTGACACAGACTCTAAAGATGATAACAAATTCCCACTTTCCACTTCTCTCTTCAGCTCTGACACCAGCTGCACATGCACTATTTCTCCCTCTGACCCTAACTAGCAGAGCTAGGTCAGACCTCACAAGTCAAAGGACACACACAGTCCTCCAGGCTACCAAGTCTGCCCAAGACTTCAGCTACTCACCACAAATTTGGGAGTCTGCATGACACTCCCACTTCTGATCCACTACCTTTTTAGGATGCCAGCTGCAAACTTGGGAGACCTCTCTGGGACCCCTCACTTCTGATCTGTTGGCTACAAATTCAGCATTAGTTGGCTGGCACCCACTCACTGCTTCTTTGGTTCAATAATTTGTTGAAACAATTCACAAAATTTACAAAAAGGGTTAAGTTTAGTTTTACAGCTTTATTATAGCAAAAAAAGATACAAGCGAAGAGACATACAAGGTCTGAGAGGGTTCTAACATGAAGCTTCCAGATTCAGATCTGTTAATTAGGTATCAATGCAAGGATGATTCAGCTAATCGGCTGACATAAGGCCAAGGAGGTGACCTTTCTGTTCAGGCCACTTCCTGTGCATTACCACAAACTCTCAGGTGTTGTCTGAAAGACTTTCTAGGTGCCATTGAGTCAGTATTGACTTATAGAGACCTTATTCACAACAGAATGAAACACTGCCTGGTCCTGGGCCAACCTCACAATTGTTGCCATGCTTGAGCCCACTGATGCTGCCACTTTGCCAATCCATCGCTGGAGGTCTTTTTCTTTTTCTCTGACCCTCCACCTTACCAAACATGATATCCTTCTCCAGTGACTGATCCCTCCTGACAATATGTCCAAAGTATGAGAGACGAAGTTTGGCCATCCTGGCCTCCAAGGAGCACTCTGGCTGCACTTCTTCCAAAACGGATCTATTGGTTCTTTTGGCAGCCTGTGGCACTTTCAATATTCTCCTCCAACACCATAACTCAAAAGCATCAATTCTTCTATAGTCTTCCTTATTCACTGTCCAGATTTCACATACATATGAGGTTATTGAAATACCATGGCTTGGGTCAGGCGCACCTTAGTCTTCAAGCTGACATCTCTGCTCTTCAACACTTTAAAAAGGTCTTGAGCAGCAGATTTGCCTAACACATCATTTGATTTCTTGACTGCTGCTTCCATGAATGTTGATAGTTGATCCAAGAAGAATGAAGTCCTTGACAACTTCAATCTTTTCTCTGTTGATAAGAATGTTGTTTATTGGTCCAGTGGTGAGGATTTTTGTTTTCTTGACATTGAGAAGTAATCCATACCGAAGGCTGTGCTCTTTTCTCCAGCATAGAAAAGCAAGGTTGTATCAGCTGTATATTGCAGGTTGTTAATGAGTCTTCCTCTAATCCTGATTGTTGTTGTTGTTGTTGTCAGGTGCCATCGAGTCGGAACCCACTCATAGCGACCCCATGCACAGCAGAACGAAACAATGCTCGATCCTGGGCCAACCTCACCACCGCTGCCACCCCCGAGTCCATCAATGATGCCACCTGGCCAATCCATCTCGTTGGGGGTCTTCCTCTTTTTCTCTGACCCTCCACCCTTCCCAGCATGACATCCTTCTCCAACGATTGTTTCCTCCGGACTACATGTCCAAAGTAGGAGAGACGAAGCTTAGCCATCCTGGCCTCCAAGGAGCACTCTGGCTGCACTTCTTCCAAACAGATCTATTGGTTCTTTTGGCAGTCCATGGCACCCTCAGTATTCTCCTCCAACACCACAACTCAAAGGCATCAATTCTTCTACGATCCTCCTTATTCACTGTCCAGCTTTTGCATCCATATGAGGCTAATGAAAACACAATGGTCTGGGTCAGGCGCACTCTAGTCCTCAAGCTGACATCTCTGCTCTTCAATACTTTAAAAAGTTCCTGTGCAGCAGATTTGCCCAGTGCAATACGTCGTCTGATCTCTTGACTACTACTTCCGCAAGTGTTGATAGTTGATCCAAGAAGAATGAAGTCCTTGACAACTTCAATCTTTTCTCCATTGATAAGAATGTTGTTTATTGGTCGGCACCTCAATTATTCAGGAAATGCCAAGGGTTTAGAGTTATCTCTCAAGGAGCTCTGGTAGCATAATGGGTACGAATCAGGCTGCTAATCTCATGGTTAGCAGTTCGAAACTACCAGCTGTTCCATGAGAGAAAGATGAGGCTTTCTGTTCCCGTAAAGATTTACAGCCTCAGATACTCTATACAGGGTCGCTATGAGTCGGAACTGACTCTGTGGTACATAAGAGCAACAACAGAGTTATCTCTCAGGAAGCAAGGACAAAAACCATATTACAGAGTTAATATGTGAGAGAGGTCATAAATTCTAAACTCCACAACAGGACTTCAAGGTGGCATTGTCTCCAACCTCTGCTTCAATTAAGTTGATAGTTTTCTTCTTGAGATTCTGTACATTTTGGGTTGATTTTCTTACCGTGGTTTGCAGACACTCCTAGATCTCCAAGTGTATAGGTCAAAGATGGAAGTTTGGGAGTGTAAAGAAGAATTTCATAAAATTTTTTTTGACTAAAATGAAATTATTGGTTTAACTAAGTTCTTTACGAAACTTAAACTGTTCTTTTTACCTGCCTGTCTGACTGGAACTTTGTGTTTGCTTAACAGCACTCAACAGAGTTCATTTAGAGTTTTCACAAGTTCCTGTCAGGTAGCCATGTTAATTGCTAGAACTTGAGAGAGTTTTCTATTGGTGTCGTGCTACAGAATCAGCATTGGACTTTGAACCTGAAAGTCGGCAGTTCAGACCCACCAGCTGCTCCTCTGAAACCCTATACAGGGGTGCTATGAGTCAGAACCAACTGACATCACTTAACAGCAACAGTCAAGCTAGGCTGTGAAAGAAATACACTCTAAAGAAGGGAGTCTTGACAGCTGTCTTTTGTATAAAGTAGGCCCAAGAAATATTTCTTCATGACACAGATGTAATAAGAAGTGTTTGAAAAAGTCTTGGGGGCAGCCTTATTTAAAGTTTCCCAGACAAACTGTTTTTGCAGCGAGGGGATTGTCATCAATGAGATGAAACAAAGTGTATTATTTGTTGAATGTAAAGCTGATGATCTTGTCTGCAAAACTTCACTTGATTCATAATAAAAAGTTAAATAAATAATAAAGTTTCCCAAACAGCTTAGAGAATTTTTGTTTAACAAGCTGCTTCTGGGACCAAAAGAGTTTTTGCAAATTCCTGAGACATCTAATTAAAGCTGTTTAAACTGCAACCAGTGATGTTTTATATCACCTGAAGGCTATGTGACTCTGTTTGAAGACCTTTGTAATTAATTCCTAAAATCAATTACTGTAAGCCTCTGTACTCAATTATCCAATAGAAGTCTGTTCTCTGCCCCTAACCCAACCTCTTTACGACCTCAACCAAAGACTAGCCAATCAAATGACTGTATTATAATTTCTTTGTTTCCCTGACCTATACCTGTCTCTGTAAGAGTTCTTTAGTTGGCGTCATCAGGTCTTAATTATGTGGGCTGGTGTGTCCCAGAGTTCATATGTACCTTTTTTTCCTTCTTTTTTCCTAAATCCTCTTAATCTCATTTTAAGGACTGATTGAGTTTGTTTTGTTTTTGTTTTTTTCCCCTACAACAGGAATAAAGCTGACATGTTATCAGGAGGGACCAGTCCCTGGAAAAGGAAATTATGCTTGGTAAAGTGGAGGGTCAGCAAAGAAGAGGAAGAGACCTCCGAACGAGGTGGATTGGCACAGTGCCCGCAGCAGTGAAGTCAAACTTAACCATTGCGAGTATGGTGGACCGAGCAGTGTTTCTTTCTGTTGTGCATAGGGTCGCTATGAGTCGGAACCTCTTGTTCGGTGTGTATTTCTTAAGATTTTCTTTTTATTAAGTGCTGTCCTGTTGATTCTGACTCATAGCGACCCTGTATAGAGTTTCTGAGGAGCGGCTGGTGAGTATGAGGCGTGGTGAATAAAAGCGTGCTGTTAGTGAATCGGAGTCACTTCTGATTCATAGTGACCCTGCATAGGATTTCCAAGGAGCGGCTGGTGGATTTGAACCACCTATCTTAGGGTTAGCAGCTCAGAGCTTATCCTACAGCGCCACACCCGTTAAAGTGATTCAAATGCAGTATTTCAGCCTTGATCTAAAATTGTTTGAACGCAGTCAATTCCCGCACGCGCAGGCGCGGAGAATGGGAGGGGGGAGATGGGCGGGGTTGTTCTGCAGAGTGTGCGTGGTTGTGTCACGTGACGGCTAAGGCTTATCTGTAGCCCTGGCGACAGCTTCTCATCTAAGTGCTGCTGCTCTTCAGGCCTTAATGCGAGCTACGTCCGGGTCTAGCAACCCTAGATATGTCTACGGGCCGGTCCTTCTCTTTGGGCGTTGGCAACGGGGAACCTGAAACTGAGAAGACCTCGGGGGAGACCGAGAACACTTATATTTTGCGGCCCATTTTCCAGCAAAGGCGGGTAGTAGACAAGATGGGGCTGGGGCGACCTGTGGGAATGCTGGATCGGGCCGGCGGAGCTCATCCTAGTGGGGCATTGGGAGATGGGAATGAGCGGAGGCCCGGCGGGACAGGCCGGTGGGGAGAGGCCATTCTCCCAACATCCCTACTCTTCTTGGCTCCTAGCTGTGACGGGTAGCAGTGGACTGGACGTTTGGTTGCAGTGTTTTGGTGCCCAGAGTGCTAAGGCTGGCACAGTGGGATAGAGAGCTCTGGAAGACTTAGGGCGTGGGCACAGGGCAACGAGGTAGATGGAGTAGAGAGGAGATAAACTACAGCCGTGCATCGAATGCTATTCAGCTGTGCTTCGAGGGTTGTCCTGTGCACACGTGTATCAATACAATTATTCCTCTGTAGGGTATGGTCCTATATGCATATATAAAGCCCTACACAGACACAGCATTATGGCACACGGTCTGGTGCAGAGGACAGTCCACAAGGCTGTAGGATCCATCACTAACTTCGTCTTTCCATGAAAAAAAGCTTTTCTTAATCCTTCCCAATCCCCATCCGTTGTTTGAAACCAGATCGCTGAATCTAACACTTGGTGAGTTTGAAAGTCAGCAATTTTGGTTATACTGTGATAAGATTTATGCAGTTGGCTTTCGGTGGTGAAATGGGTGTAGGAAAAAGATGTTTACTTGGTAAAAGATTAAAAATGTACAGTTGTGTTTCTGTTGTGAAGCAGTGCAGAACAAGATCAACAACAAATATATATTATGTAGGAATAATCCTATGAGATTCGGTGTCACTTTGTTTGAAAATTGTTAACATTTTATGGGGGTAAGAAAACTATAACAGAATTGTCAAATATAGTATGCTTGTTAATACAAATATTATACTACATGTGAGAATAAGCTGGCAGTGGCTCAAGCTCACTAGCTGTACCTTGGAAACCCTATACAAGGTCGCTGTGGGTCAGAATTGACTCAACAGCACTTAACAACAACAACAGAGCAAATAAAACACTGTTAAAAAGAAATGGGGGAAGGAGGGGTTGAAACATGGCAGCAGATTACGGATGTGGACCAGCAATCACTACCAACACAGTAGAAGAGGCCCTGGATGAGCACATTTATGTGAAAATGCGAAATGACGGAGAACTTCTAGAGAGATGACTAGCTTCTGATCAACACTTAGGTATGATATTGGGAGATGAGGAAGCAACTGTGAACTGCTAAAGAAATTGATGGAACATACAGAAAGAAATAATAGGAGGGTAAGTAAAAAGTTGGCATAGTGGCAGCAGCATTGGGCTCAAACGTAGCAACAATTTTGAGGTTAGTGCAGGAAAACTGGGCAGTGTAGTGTTTCCTTCTGTTGTACATAGGCTTGCTACGAGTTGGTACTGACTTGATGGCACCTAGCAACCACAATTAGGGTTCCAGTGCATACATATATGGGTTTATTCCAAACAAAACGTGTTTACACACACACACACACAAACACACACTTGTGTGTATCCTCTCAGTAATATACTTGTTCTTTGTTGTTGTTGTTTAGTGCTGTTGAGTCATTTCTGACTCATAGTGACTCTGCATAGCGTTTCCAAGGAGTGGCTGGTGGATTTGAACTGCTGTCCTTGCAGTTCAGACTGATCTTGCGGTCTAGTGCATTATTCTGCAGCGCCATACCAGGACTCCATAGTTGTTGTGTTGTTAAGTGCTGTCGAATTGGGTTCTGACTGATAGTGATCCCCATATAGGGTTTCCAAGAAGCAGCTGGTGAGCTTGAACTGCTGACCTTGCGATTCAGACTGACTTTGCAGTCCATCGCATTAAGCCACAGCACCACACCAGGACTCCTAGCCTTCAAAAAATAAAAAAAGGTCCATTCAAAATAGTGGCTTGTGAGAGTTAAATTCAATTCAAGGCAGAGAGGTCAACTCATGAGGTTATGGCAACTGATTTTCAGCATATCCAAAGGGGTAATCTTAATAGATTTTCTCAAAGCTCACAGGATGATCACAGGGGCTTTTTAGGAAGTTTTAAGAAAATGGAAAACTGGATTAGGGAGAAAAAGACCAGGAAAGTTACAGTGAGAATTTTTTTTCCCATTAATAACAACGCTCCTTCTAGGGTAACAAGGCTGACCTACAAGAATTTCACTGGGAAACCTTACCCCATCTGTTCTACACTGCCCTGATTTTGCCCCTTCGACTTCTTTGTGTTCTCCAAACTCAGGACCATTTAAGAGAAATACTATTTGAGTCCCTTGCATATGCCCAAACTACTGTTTTGAGGTGGTGTAAATTTAAGAGCACAGATTTCTTTGGGAAAGGGTTAGAGAGATGGAAACACCACCTTCAAAAAAAGTGTATAGACCTAGATGAAGGTGACATTGAGAAATGATAGCTTCACATTTTAATAAACGTTTCTGTGATTTTGAGTCCTAGTGTGGCACTGTGGATTGGACTGCTAAGCAAGGTCAACAGTTCAAACCCATCTGCCCCTCTCAGAAACCCTATACAGGGTTGCTATGAGTGAGCATCAATTTGAGGGCACTTAACAACAACAACATGATTTTGTAGCAATGCTTTTTGACTTAACCTATGTAGAAATCAATGAAAGGGAATATTCTGATGCTCTCTGTTCAGGGAGATGGTGTCCTACTTGCCCCAACATTGAAGTTGACTAGAACAAAGAATCTATCTTTTGTAGAAAAGAAGAGACTGTATAATTGCCTCTTTAATGTAGAGTATATTCAAAATGTAGAGTATATTCAAAAGAGAAACTTGTGTAAATTTTGATATTCAGAAATGACCAAAGATTCTTCCACTCCTAGAATGAACTGATTTGCAGATAATCCACAAGTTCGTAAGGAGCCCTGGTGGTGCTGTGGCTGAGTTCTGGACTGCTAACTGCAAGGTCAGTGGTTCAAACCCATCAGCTACTCCATGGGAGGAAGATAAGACTTCCTGCTCCTATAAAGATTTGCAATCTTGGAAACCTTGTATAGGGTCGTTACGAGTTGGAATCCACTTGATGGCAGTAGGCATGAGCATGGACACAGGTTCTTAAGCTAAATGGCATTTTAGGTTTTCTCTAGTCCTTTTAATACATGTAATCATGAAAATGCAGAACTCTTTTGGAAATAATTTCGGATTTAATTGAAGTGGCAAATGTGTTATATATACATTTACAACATTTTTTTTTTACAAAGTAATAAAGGGACACTTCTACTAGTGGTCCTCGTGTGGCGTTGTGGGTTAATGCGCCAGACTGCGAAGCCGTTTAAACTGCAGGGTCTGTGGTTCAAGCTCACCAGCTGCTCCTAGGAAACGCTATACAGGGTTGCTATGGGTCGGAACCGACTCGATGGCACATCACAACAACAACAACTACTACCTAATATTAATCTACATTATAAGCTCAAAACTTAGAAAAGTAAAGTAACCTGGCACATGGTAGAAACATCAACTGAGAATATATTGTTCAGAAAAGGAACCTAGTATTATACTATATGACTAATACAATAAAAATGCTAGTGGTATTGTTAGAATGGTAAAATTAGGCGTGACTTTTTCCCTTTTAACAAACCCTGGAGGTATTGGACTACCAACCATTAGGTTGATGGTTCAAACCCGTCAGGTGCCCTGAAGCACTGTGCTGTCCTTTAGGGTCACTGTGTGTTGGAATTCACTTGATGGCCTTTGGTGGTGGGTAGTATTTTCCTTTTGTGTGTCTTCCTTTATTCAGTAGCCTATTTGTTGTTGTTGTTATGTGCCGTGGAGTCGGTTCTGACTCATAGCCACCCTGTACAGGATTTCTGAGGCTGTAAATCTTTACGGGAGCAGAAAGCCTCATCTTTCTCCTGTGGAACAGCTGGTAGTTTCAAATTGCTGACCTTGTGGTTCACAGCCCGATTCGTAACCACTGCGCTACCAGAGCTCCTTTTAGTTAGCAAATATTTATTGAGTGTCTATTGTATGCTGGTCCCTGTTATAGGTAATGGAGACATACAATAAAAATCCCACTGCCATTGAGTCTATTTCAATTCAGAGCGACCTTATATAGGGTTTCCAAGACTATAAATCTTTATGGGAGCAACCAGCCTCATCTTTCTCTCTTGAAATGGCTGGTGTGTTTGAACCTTTGACATTGTGGCTAGCAGCCCAGTGCCTAACAGCACAGCACCGCCAGGACGCCTTTTTGTTGTTAAATGCCATCGAACTGGTTCTGATTCATAACGACCCTGCAAAGTGTTTTCAAGGAGCAGCTGGTGGGATTGAACTTCCGACCTTGTGGTTCATAGTCCAGTGCTTTTCGTACAGCTAAGACTCCTAGCAATGAATAAAACAGACAAAATCCCCTGCCATCATGGAGCTTATGTTCTAGCAGAGTAGAAAGACAACAGAAAAAGTGAATACATAAGTAAACTATATAGAATATGAGATGTGAAGTGAGGGTAGTAGGAGGGCGGTTTGAAGTTTTAAGAGAAAATGTCCAGTGACGGTGATTTTTGACTAAAGACTGAAGGAAATGAGGCAGTTGGCAATGCATATTAGAGAGAAAGAGCATTGTAGGAAGAGGGGCCAGCAGGTGCAGTGGCATTGAGATTTGCATGTGTGGTGTGGTCTGAGAACATAGGTAAAGCCAGTAGAAAGAACTAAAAACAGCGTAGAGAACTAGGGGGAAAATAGTAGTCACAGTGTTTGGGGGTGGGGGTATATCATAATAGGACCTCGCAAGTCACAGTGAGGACTTTGACTTTTATTCTGAGTGAGCTGGCAAGTATCGGAGTGGTTTGAGTACACGAGTTTATGATCTGACATATTTTAACAGGACCAGTGTGATTTCGCGTTTGAATAGGATGTGGGGGTGAGGGCAGCTGCAGAGAAAGACTTGTTAGGAAGGAGCCCATTGTAATCCAGGTAAGAGAAGGTGGTGGTGGGGTGGTGAGAAGTAGTTGAATGTAGATTACATGGAAGCTAGAACTGGTAGAATTTGTTCATGAATTTGATGTGGACTGTGGAAGACAGAGGCAACAAGACGGACACCATGGTGTTTGGCGTGAGCACCTGGAGGAATGGAGTTTGTCATTGTAATAGGGAGGACTGCCGGAGGACCTGGCTTTGAGGAGAGGAGGAGAGTATCAAGAAGCTCAAGGTTGAATGTTTGAAGTTTGAGCTGCTTATTAGACATCTAAATGGTACATGTGCCGAATTTGTGGTCTGAAGTTCAGGGCAGAGGCCCAGGCTGGAGATAAAAATGTGAGATCTGACTTGT